AAATTTGTGCTTACAATTCACAATTAACAAAACATAAAAAATAACTTAGAATTCTACCTATAAAAACGTGTTCAACTAGAATTATTCTAAGGAAAGTCAATTTCAGACATATATAATTATATAGAACGGTATAAAAAAAATAGTAAACAGGAGTACAACAGTAAATTAGAAATTGTGCAGAAGAAGACATTTATGTGACAAATTTGTGCTTACAATTCACAATTAACAAAACATAAAAAATAACTTAGAATTCTACCTAAAAAACGTGTACTAATTCAACTAGAAATTCTAATAAAGGTAAATTTCAGACATATATAATTAAGTAGAACGGTATAAAAAAAATAGTAATCAGGAGTACAACAGTAAATTAGAAATTCTGCAAAAGAAGCCATTTTGTAGTTAGTTTTCCCGCGCAAACGCGATACGCCACAGATGCACAAAATGTTACACGGTGCGCAGATGCAGTAGGATGACGAGCGCGTCATGGCAGTATGCGCGATTTTAATACTATGAGTATTAACAGTTTCAGTTGGTGACTGTCGCCTATGTACATGAACCACAACGTCAAATTTAGATGCTCGTTGCTGTCCTTCCATAGAACTAAGATAATAGTAATCTATAATCTAAGAACAATACACACAGCGCCATCTAGACCCAAGTTAAGCTAGCTGAAGCTTGTGTTATGTATACTAGATAACTGATACTAATATATAGATTTTTTTCGTAAATACCTATATATTATCATCAAACAATCATACTTACGAATATATATGTTTGTATCGTGCGTGATTCCTCAATCGAACCCGCGACTATTGGAAGTAAGGCGGTATGCTGAACTACTTGACCACCGAGGCTGTTACTTAACTTTGTTCTTATTCAAAGATATTGTATATAATACAAATAGCATTCTCATACATTAGGGGCGTTCATTAGCGAAGTTTTACCTTAGTTATATTTGGGAACTGTCGCCTATCTACTTGAACCACCACATCATTATTAGACGCTCGATGCTGTCATTCCATAGGACTAAGATATCATGCCTCTTTACTCTTTAATACCTTACCTTACCTTTCAATAGATGCTAAGTTTGGTAGTTAAAATATCAAGGCGTTTATGGCCTGGATCGCCAACACGCTGCCCACCTTCATGAAGGAACTACTTACTGGCCGAAAGGAGTGGAGTGTCGATGCTACCATGTCAAATTGTCGTCTTCAGTGCCGTGATTTCCGCGCCTGGCTTCGCCCGCGTAGACATAGAAAATATCTTTAGGTTTAATAGGTTATCGCACATTTAAAGATACTGTACAATAGTGGGACGTTAAATATCCTAAACCTTCCTCTTGAGTCCCTATATCTATTCAGTCTATTAAACAAAAACGAACCAAATTCGTACAAATACATTTTCATATAAGTAGGAATGTACAATCGGTGAATTTTGCCATTAACTTTTTGATACGAACTAACACAACAATACATGTATTAATAAATATTTTCTTTATGATACAACCGTATAGATTATTTTTATTTATTTTTCTTAGTGTGAATAAGTAACATACAACGTAACACTGTCCAGACAGAACTAGTACAAGCCTGCTAGTGCAGTTTCAGATACACGTTTTAATATAAAACTGCAGTTCTGAACAGGCTAACATGTTTTGGAAGATTATAGAAAAAACTGTAGAGGTATACTATCGAAATTTCTCTCGCTCTCACTTCTCATTATTCAATTTAATCAATTGTGAAAAAATGTTCAATATTCACCACAATTAAGTATAGTAAAATCGTGAGAAACAATGACTGTCTGTTCATCTATTGCTGAAGAAATTAGTATGATGTTTTCACAGAATGTAGGTCAATATAAAAGCCAAAGAAATAGAATAGAATAGAACAGAAAATCATTTATTCAAATAAACTTAATTTAAGCACTTTTGAATAGTCATACCAATTTTTTTTATCTACCGCTCGTTCGGAAAGCTGACTCATCACAAGAAGAACGAGCAAGAAACTCGTGTGTTACTCTTTTAAATAATCCTTGTAAGTTTACATTTACAAGTCGAAACGTGTGAATACAACCTACCAATCAGCACTAATTTATTACGGTCAAATATAAATATAAAATAAGATTAAATCAGTCGTAGTGATAAGAGAAGACCAGTCGCTACAAACAGCACACGTTCAGGAATATGACGGATGAGCCAGCCATCACTGCGCTCGACCATATTTTAGCGAGCCCAATGACCCGGCCCACCACGCCGCCACATGTCTGGACTATCTTAGTAAAATATCTCTGAAAATGATAAGGTAATATTTTTCCTTATTTTTAAATACACCGTTTAATATTTTTAATTAATTATTAAAATAATATTGTTTTAAAGAACTCTTTTAGTTCAATAGATGGTGTTGGTTAAAATATATATTTTTTTAAATAGAAAAGGCTATCATAACCTGTCATCTCTATTGAACTTGTATTTTCAATTAAAATCCTGAATTTTGAACTCACGGTACCCATTTTTCAGAAAGTTAGTCTTTTGGACTATCAGTTTCATCTTATATATAAAATTCTCGTGTCACAGTTTTCGTTCCCATACTCCTCCGAAACGGCTTGACCGATTCTCATGGAATTTTGTGAGCGTATTGAGTAGGTCTGAGAATCGGCCAACATCTATTTTTCATCCCCCTAAATGTTAGGGGTAGTCCACCCCTAATTTTTTTTTTTTATTTTAAGGCAAAACAACATTTGCCGGGACAGCTAGTATTTATACCTATGTATTTTAATTAATTTGGGTATATATAGAGTAATGAACTCACAGAAAGGATATAATAGTCAAATAGTTTGCAATTGTCATGCACATTATAATATTTCAAGGAATAAAGCCATTTTAACTTTGCCTCTCGATTATCGGATATATTTCGAATACAAATATTCGCTCTTATTATAATGAGTTAAGTTTTAGATTTCAATAGCAATGTGTGGAGCGTGTATAAAATGGAATGGTGTAATTTGCCTAAGTGTGTCGAAAGTAGAGATTATATCTTAATAACAGTCGAAACATCTGCACCTGATGAGATGAAGCCACGAGGCGTGCTCGCCGAGCCAATTTGAGGCATACCAGGTTATATGTCGGGATGAAACTGAAACTGAAACTTAAAATAATTTATTACTAGCTGTTCCCGCGACTTGTCCGCGTGGAATTTAACTTTATTTTTCTAAAATAAAAGTAGCCTAAGTTACTCCTTATTACATCAGCTACATGCCAAAAAAAGTTCCGTCAAAATCGGTCCAGCCATTTCGGAGACTACCCGAAATAAACAGACAGACAGACAAAAATTGTACAATGTTATTTTGGTGTATGTACCGTATATATTAATAAATATATTTCAATATTACAAGCAGACAATTCAATTTTATTTACATGTATGTATAGATGGTAGCAAAGAAGCATACGGCCCAGCTGATGGTAAATGGATACTGTAGCCTATTGATGCCTGAAACTCCAGGGGCATTACGTGCGTTGCCAAGCATTCATTTCAATTTTGTGTCTCAGTTATAGGTGATCACTGTCGCCTATGTACACGAATCACCACGTCATTATTACACGCTCGTCGTTATCTTTCCATACGAATAGGATGTTATACCTCTTTACTCTTTTATATTTCCTTACCTAACCTTTCAACTGACGCTCAGCTTGATAGCACAAATAGTAAGGCATTTGTGGTCCCTACCAACAGACTATCCACCTTCATGAAGGAGGACTACTGGCCGAAGATGGTGGTGTATCGGCGCTACCTACCTAGCTACGGCGTTTTAGCGCGAAAATCCCCAAAAACCATGAAAACCCCATGCTGTAGTCTCTTTGAGTAATTAGTTCTTATTACTAGCAATCCCATCCTCTCCAGGCAGGATAGGTCCTAATCAGCAGATTTTACCAATTTAGCCAATTACAGATCATCCGACTCGTGAGGTGAGGAGGAGAGCCTTGTATCACTAATAGTTCTTGCGGTTTCGACTAGCTCCCAGTCTAAAAATCCGAACCAGTGTATAGATTTGAGATATTCTTTCGCCGTATAAAAGTTATATTAATTACTAGCTGTACCAGCGACTTCGTCCGCATGGAGTTTAACAAGAGTTAATTTATTTATTTTTTATTTATTCTTTAATGCACAAAAAACTTGTACAAAGGCGAGCTTAATGCCATATGGCATTCTCCACCAGCTAACCTTTAGGTATACAGAAAGCGTTGTGGGGCAGTTATGTCAAAACACAAACACAAAGTTACTAATAAATATTATATAATATATATGAAATGCAAATAAATATATACAAATAATAATATATATAGTATACCTGATATTATATAATGTCATACATTAATGTTAAATATAGATAAATATAATACTAATACAATGCAATACAGTTATAACTCATTTTGGTGATTCAGAAGAAAATTAAATAATTTCTTTTTAAAAATTTAATTTAATTTTCTAAAATAAAAGTAGTGTAAGTTACTCCTTACTACATCAGCTACCTGCCAATAAAAATCCCGTCAAAATTGGTCCAGCCATTTCACAGATTAGCCAGAACAAACAGACAGACAAAAATTTGGAAAAAATGTTTTTTTGGTGTATGTACCATATTTATATTCATATGCATGTTGTAAAAAACGGTTATTTCAATATTACAAACAGACACTCCAATTTTATTTATGTGCATAGATAATTATATGCATATTAAATTAATATATGTATACATATATACATATATATATTCTATTCTATTTATTACGGCTGGCAACGGCAGTGAAATAGGGTAGTACAAATAAAATTACTTACCAAAATTATAGTGATGTATTTAGTGGTAGCGTATATGACACAATGTAGAAAAACAATATAATAAAAAATATATGTCAAAAATTGTATATAAAAATATATGGTTTAAAAATAGAAATATCTATAAAAAGAGGTCTGTCGCCAACATGGCACGCCCCGGTGCAGAGCACCAATCTATAGTGGCGACTGTGCGCAGTTTTCTTGGGTGCCCTGCTCTAGGAGTAAGGGCAACACTTTGCGCACTGGTCTTTTCAAGATCCCCATGCTTCCCCGGATCTCCACCACCCTGACCACTCCGTCAGGACCGGTGAATATCTTAGAAATACGGCCTTTGGGCCAGGTTCCTCGCGGAAGATTTGGATCCGCCACCAGAACTGGATCTCCCACTTTGAATTTGGCTTGCGTCGATCCGGCCTTTCGTGGAATCAACGTGGGTAGGTATTCATGAAGCCATCTGGCCCAAAACAGCTCCGCTAACCGCAGTACCTTCCTGTGGTCTAAGCGACGGCAAAGATCTGCATCGGTGCGGGGACGGACCGACTCGGTTGATGGTGTGCCCAATAAAAAATAGAAGGGTGTGAGGGCCTGTAGTGTCTCCGGCTCTACTGGTACGTGTGTCAGCGGGCGAGAATTGACTACTGCTTCCGCTTCCAGAAGTAGGGTACTCAATACTTCCTCTCTTGGAGCTTGTTCTTTCAGGGTTACGGAAAGCGCAGACTTTATTGATCGCACTAAGCGTTCCCACGCACCTCCCATTGATGGTGCCGCTGGACAAATGAAGACCCACTCTATTTTATGGTTGGCCGCGAAGTCGAAAACGTCTGTGAGTTGGTTGGCTGCGCCGACAAAAGCCGTGCCGTTATCTGAGATGATTCTCGCTGGACATCCTCTACGAGCAATAAATCTTCTTAGGGCCATGATAGCAGCATCTGCGGAAAGGCTTCCTACGATCTCCAAATGAACGGCTCTGATGGTAAGGCATGTGAATAGAGCTACCCAGCGTTTTTCTCGTCTGCGCCCAACGGCAACTTCAACTGGACCGAAGTAATCAAGACCGCAGAAGGAAAACGCGCGCTGATGATGGGATAACCTATCTTCAGGAAGATCACCAAATTGAGGCGTAGATGGGAGAAGCTTCCTAATCCTACAGAAACTGCATTGTTTGGCAACAGACCTGACACTTGGGCGTAAAGCTATTATATAAAATTTGCCGCGCAGGAAGTTAACGACGGTCTCGATATTACCATGACCAAATTTCCGATGATAGTGATCGAGAAGGAGTTTTACAATTGGATGTCGACCGTCTAAAACAATAGGGTTAATGTCCTGCGCGGGAGCATCTAATACAGCACGAATTCTTCCATTTAAACGGATTAAACCGTCTTCTCCCAACATCAGCACAAGACCTCTAAGCCTCCCTTGATTAGTTGGGGGAAGACCCGCGGTAAGACTCAAGAATTCGTGTTTAAATGATTCCAATTGAGTATATAAAAATAGGTGCCTCTCGGCCTCCAAGATTTCTGCGGCCGAAAGAGGTTTCAAAACTTTGAAGGAGACCTTGAAGGCAGCACTCTTTAATTTTGAATTTGGAGGTTTTTTCAAAAGCGACCGAAATATTTTAGCACAATAATGTGCACGAGCGGTTGCTCTAACCAACCGAACCCAACGACCGAAATGATCGTGATTCGCTACGATCGGAGATGGCATTTCCGGATGTTCGGTTAGCAAAAATGTTAACGCGTGTTCGGGTTTTAGTTCCTCAATTACTAGTGGAGCAATGACCGCAGGCTCGCGAGGCCATTCGTCTGGTGGAGACAAAAGAAAATCTGGACCAGTATACCATCGAGAGGAAGAGGAAAGAGAGTATAGACCGCGTGTAGCATCATCTGCTACATTTAAGGCCGATGGAACATAACGCCAATTGGCAACGTTTGTAGTCTCTAATATTTCTCCTACACGGTGAGCAACAAACGGCTTAAACGTGCGGGCATCGCTACGCAACCACTTTAAAACCGTTAGGGAATCCGTCCAAAAGAAAACTCTAGAAGCAACAAGACGGTGTGCCTCCAGGATGTAAGTTGCGAATCGAGAAGCCATGAGAGCCGCCTGTAACTCGAGCCGTGGGATAGACACAGGCTTTAAAGGGGCTAGGCGCGCTTTTCCACCTATAAGAGCCAAATGAACAGATTGGTCCTGGTGGACAAAACGCCAAAACGCCACACAAGCGTAAGCGGATTCACTTGAGTCGGCTAGGACGTGGAGCTGGCATTCCGCAGCAAATCTGGTTCGGTAACAGCGTGGTATTTTAATTTTGGCCGAGACTTCTGCTATACCGGCGAACCAAGTCTGCCACTTTGCCTTAGCAGAGGCGGGCAACTCCTCGTCCCAGTCAATACCCATTCTCCATGTTTCCTGAAATAAGATGCGACCGGTGATGGTTAGTGGCATCAAAAATCCAAGAGGATCGTAAACCTTCATGAGATGGGACAAGACTACTCTTTTTGTCACACTGGTAGGCAGTTCTGTGGACTTTCTAAAATTAAGAGTATCTTCCTTGATGTTCCAGGCCACCCCTAAAATTCTAACTTGCGAAGGAGATGTCGGTCCGAGACCTACCTCGGATGTGTCGGCAGCCCACAAGTCAGGACTTATTGTTGTAAGCGCTTTGGGGTTGTTGGATACCCATGAGCGCATCTCTAAACAGGCTGCTTTATGCACGGTGACGATATCTGCAACTAATCGAGCGGCGAGTTCTGGGCTGTCTACACTTCCAAGGTAGTCGTCCATGTAATGGTCTCTAACAATAGCCTCTGCTGCTTCGGGAAACTTAGTCTGGTGCTCTAAAGCATTTTTATTTTTTAGAAAAATGGCGGTGCACGGACTGGAGGTGGCGCCGAAGATCATGGAAGACATTCTATATTCTGCTATAGGTAGAGAAGGATCGTCTCGCCAGAGAAAACGTTGTGCATCTCTATCTTGTGCCCTAATTTTTGTTTGCGGGAACATTTCACGAATGTCTCCGTTGAGGGCTACCTCACCTTCCCTAAAACGCATGAGAATTCCTAATAAGGGTTGTAAGAGGTCAGGACCAGGGAGTAGCAGAGAATTTAGGCTAACTCCTGAACATTTAGCTGCGGCATCATGAACGAGCCTCAGCTTTTTCTTTTGGGGGTGATATACTCCAAAATGAGGCAAATACCATAAATTACCTAAAGGAGGTACATTAGTACAAAGCTCTGCGTAATCTTTCTCTATCATCCCATTTATATACTGTTTATAAGCTTCGGCATAATTTTGATCCTTTTTAAACTTTCTTTCTAAACTATGAAATCTGGATAAAGCTAATTTATAACTGTTTGGAATTGAGATGATATCAGGTCGCCAGAGCAAACCAGTCTCAAACCTACCTGACGGAAGACGTTGGGTGGTTTCATTTAAAATAGCCAAAGCTCGCTCATCGTTTATGCTGTGGAAGTCCTTTTTTGTAATGCCAATCGAATCGAGATGATAATGTTCTTTTATTAAAGATTCTAAATCGGAAACCGAGCTATGATGGATAAACTCCGCGGATTTACCCGGAAGCCTACCGAACATTGTCCATCCTAGAACGGTTTGGACAGCCACAGGTTGGTTACGAGAACCGCGTCGGATGCCATGCGGTAATGACAAATGCCAATTGTCAATACCAATTATTAAGAGAGGCTTGGCTTCCTCGTAAGACAGTTCTTTTACCAAATCCTGAAGATGAGAGAACTTTGCAACATCTACAGTACGAATTGTTTGGCATGCTACACCCAAATTAGGTATTGAGCGAACTCGTTTTAAATTAAAGGTTTCGACAGAGTGCTTGCCTTTGATGTTAATATCAATGTAGGTTACTACAGAATCTTTCGCCAAGCCGCCCACACAATTAACTTGAATAGTGCCTTTCGGCCCTTGTGCACCAATTGTGTCGGCTACTATTTGGTCAATCAGAGTAACTGTAGACCCGTCATCCAATAAAGCGTAAATATCCATCTCACCCTTTGGTCCAGTTACAGTTACCGGCAGCACTTTAAGAAGTGAGCGCGAAGGAGAAGGCGTCTCGCATGGTATCGCACTGCTGCCGTGAGCGTGGGCCACAATTACTGGTGCGACTTCACTCTCCGAACTTACTTCACGTTCGCCAGTTGTTGTTGAACTGTAATGAACAGAATTTGTTAACTGTTTGTGAAGTAACTCATGATGGTAATATCCACCTTTGCAATTTATTACCCTACAGTTACCTTTGCAAGTCCTATAATAATGTTTGCCCCGCTTGAGACATCTTTGACAAACTTTATTATTTTTAACCCAATCCCATCTTTCATTAACAGAAATATTTTTAAATAAATCACAATTTGAGACCTCATGACCATTCTTTTTACAGTATAAACAATAAGCAATAGAGGGAGAATTTGAGGGCCTATTGTTATTAACTGCGGCCGTAGATGGAGTAACTTTGCCTTTTGACAACTTACGAGCTATGGAGTTTGAGGCGGTGGCATAACATATGTCACTCGGACTTTCGTCTGAGCTGACATTAGTCGTGACATGCGTGCGAGCCTTTTCTATGGGCTTAGGGCGCGAAATGTCATCGATAATGCCAAACCTCAAATGAACTCGAGACTGATGTGTGAGAAAGGCGGAAAGCAATTCTAATTTATATTGGAACCCGGTATCGGCATTTATGAATGCATAATCAACCCATTTCTCACGTATCAGTGGAGTTAATTTAAGTAGCACACTATGCAACAACTCTGGAGAGGCGAGGTACTCCACAGAACCCAACATCTTTATGGTGTGGACACAGTTGCGTACCACACAAGCTAACTGGTGGAGTTCCTTGCCACCGTCAGATGCTGACAGCTTGGACATGGCCTTAACTTCTGATACTAAGTGACGGATCAGAAGCTCAGGTTGACCAAACTGCTCCTGCAGAGCCGCCATGATTTCCTCTGGGTCTTGCGACAAGGCCAGGAGGGAAATGACAGCATCACGGGCGGCTCCTCGGAGTGCATTATTTAATCGACCTATATTTTCCGTCGCCGAAAACATATTTTTGGAATTTAGATATGAACTTCTAAATGTTAACCAATGAGTGGGTGACGTGCCGGAAAATATAGGCAAGCTAACTACCGTACCTGGGTTAATTTTTCCACTGCTACAACGGGCGAGGTCACTTATGACTTCAGCCAACTTCAGGAAGTCACTGGGTTGGTTTTGTGAAGTGGTAGGTACATGTGAGCGGTCATTTTTATTTTGGTTACAAATAAATTCGTTTTGTGTACCTAACGTGTGTGTCTGTGTATAAGGATTATGAACGTGAGAGGGCGGCTTAGATTGAAACGCGCCAGCTTCATTTGTAGCTCCCAGTGTCGCAGTAATGCCTGGCTGAGGCACACCGTAGCTGTAGTTTTGGGTGGAGGTTACGCCGTGGGCACTTGATGCTGCCACTGCGTACGGTGCGGGCGCAGAAGGAAGCGCGTGCTCGCGCGTCGCAAATAATATATTTGCAACGCCTGGCGAGGCAGCGCGCTTGCGGCCGCATCGTAATGATGCTTCCGGTACTTCCAATGACGGTTGGACAGATGCGATGTGGGGCGCGTGCTCGCGCGCCGCGGCACCGGCACTGATGCCAGTGACACAGACGCCAGGCGAGACCACACGCTCGCAGTCTGTGGCCAGCATTGGGCAGGAAACACCAGGCACTTGTGGCGCAGGTGTGTGCTGGGACGGCATAATCTGTCTCTCAGACAAAGATGCGTTAGTATGAGATACCCAATTTTCTACTCTAGAGCTTCTAAACGACTGTGAGTGCAAGCTGGCAGCTTCATCAATAGCCGCTAATTCAGCCTCTAATTCTAAGTTAGCTACCATACGGTCCCGATCGGCGGCGGCTCGCTCGCGCTCGGCGGCAGCGCACTCCCGCTCTGCGGCGGCACGCTCTCGCTCAGCGGCGGCGCGGTCTCGGTCGGCCTCAAGTTCGGCTAAGCGACGTGCATGTAGTGCTTTTGCCGCAAGACGTTGAGCTCGGAGTGAGGTCGATGAATGATGGGAGCCGCGATGTGAACCGTGGGGATTAATGACACGTGAAGCGCTAGCGGATACCTCTGAAGGAGGGATATCTAGATCCGTTGGGGCGCTTTGTGCCGCTGCCATACCTCTTGTCAACACCATTTGTTGAAATATTCGAAAATAAATTATATAAATTTTTGTTGTATATAAAATATTTAATATTAGCTGGTAATTACACCGGTAGAAGGACCAATATTACGGCTGGCAACGGCAGTGAAATAGGGTAGTACAAATAAAATTACTTACCAAAATTATAGTGATGTATTTAGTGGTAGCGTATATGACACAATGTAGAAAAACAATATAATAAAAAATATATGTCAAAAATTGTATATAAAAATATATGGTTTAAAAATAGAAATATCTATAAAAAGAGGTCTGTCGCCAACACTATTAATATTTATATATATATATATCTTTCAACTTGTACCGTAAAAGCTATACTATAGATAGTGTAAAATCCGATCCTACAGACTTCCGTATTTTATTCTAAGTATATGGGATCAACATAGTACAGTTTATACTACTACTGAATATCTTTCAACTTTCAACGCACAATAACCAAACTGCCAATAATGTTTGCATCTCACGTACCAGCTATTTGACGCACGATCGCCCGCTCTATGCTTCATAGGGTTGACACTTTTCCAAATACACTATTAACTATTCTAGCATAAATTAAAAAAAATATATCAAAAGTGCTTAAAATTTAGTTTTTCTTTTCTGTTTTGAACGATTACAGTTTGCGAGCATAAATTAAAAAAAAAACAAATTTTAAATTGCTTATAAAATTTAGTTTTATTTCTTTTCCATTCTGAACGATTGCAGTTTTATATCTGTTTACGAAGTCAATTCTTGTATGAACTTCCTCTTTTACATTCTAGCACCTAATAGCATGTTTTTATAGTGTATGTACAACGGTTTATAACGTCGTGGTTTCTAACAACTTTAAAATAACTCTGTCTGTCTCTCTGTCCCACTACTGAACCGATTTATATGAAATTTGGTACACAGATAGTCTAGACTCTGGGAAAGGATATAGGCTACTTTTAATGCAATAAAAGGGTTATAGGGGTTGAAAGGAGAAGTGCAAGGTTAAATAGAAGTAATCATTACATAAAAACAAAGTCGCTGTCGCTATTTGTCCATATGTATGCTTAAATCATTCATAAGAACAGACAGCGACAGCAACATCATATTTTAAAACTACGCATCGAATTTTGAAGCGGTTTTATTAAATAGATGTAGTGATTCAAGAGGAAGGTTTATATATATAATACATGTAGGTACATCCGTACGAAGCCAGGGCGAGTAGCTAGTCAAATATAAATCAGAGAAATTCTTAAATCTAGAAAATTGAAACTTAGTTTTCTGGCTGTTGATTATTTTTATTTTTATTTATTTATCTTCAATGCACAAAAATAATGTATACATATGGCGGTATTAACACTTTGCGGCGTTATCTACCAGTCAACCATGAGTAGTGCAAGGTAAGACTTTTGGCGATGCACTAATATAAATATATTTCATACACTCCAATGACTTAGAATGTGTGAATAAGTTTGTATTCACATTCCTAATGGCACTAATAAAATGTACATATTTGTAGGTCAAAATGAGAGAATTTCTGCGCATTATCAATTTAATTCTTAAATATTACAATAAAATCCGTGATATCTAGCATGAAATAGTCGTCGTTCCTCGTTCTAGCGTTCAACTCACTCGGTCATTCGTTTCGCTTCACTTATGTATATATTCATTCTCTCGTCATTCATGTTTCAATTCACACATCCCACATATTAATAATAATAAAAAATAAATATTATTATTATTAAATCGGTGTTGGCAACCCTATAGATAGGGATGCACGAACACTTTGTGCATACATTGCACCGGGAATTATGCATTGCGAGATGCGTCAATGATTACGATAAACCGATCAGTTGTTGCTGGGGATTTTATATAACTAAAATTTGTTAAAACAGTAGTAGCAAATCTGCTGTGAGCAGTACAATGCTCGAACCCACAGGCGCCATCCTCAACCACCACTGGTCGACGTCAAACGTTGCGTAGATGACGGCATCACACAATCGACCAATGAGAAGCACCGCTCATCACGCGTCACATATGAGCACCAATAAAAAGGGTGGATACTCCACCCCTATGTAATTTTTTTTTTTATAACACAGGGGACAAACGAGCATGCGGCTCACCTGATGGTAAGTGATTACCGCCGCCCATGAGCAACCGTAACACCAGGGGAATTGCAAGTACGTTGTCGGCCTTTTAAAAAGGAATAAGCTCTTTTCTTGAAGGTTTCAATATCGTATCGGTTCGGAAATGCTGGAAGGTGATATGATGAAGATGAATTTAATTTAAAAACGTTAAGTTGTTGCAATAAACGCTTCATGAGAAGAGGTCACAGTTTCATTTTAAAACACTCTTCCTTATCAAAAAACAAATTAACACATTATAATGTCCCTGGATATTCACACAGCGCCATCTAACCTCAAGCTAAGCAGAGCTAATGTTATGGGTACTGGACAACTGATAACTAAGCTATAGAAAAAATAGATATCTAACATAGAAAACACCTAGACTGATAAAATAATCATACTCATACATGAATACAAATATTTGCACTGTGCGAGGAATCGAACCCGCGACCATTGGATGTAAGGCTGTGTGTTAAACCGCTAGAGCACCGAGGCCGTCATAATAATATCCCTAGACAATTCTCACAGCGCCATCTAGTCTCAAGCTAAGCTGAGCTTGTGTTATGGGTACTAGACAACTGATATATATATATACTTAGATACAGTTTTATTTGTAAATAGATATATATTATACATAGAAGACACCCAGACCCATACTAACCAGACAGTACTTGCACGGTGCGAGGAATCGAACCTGCGACCATCGCAAGTAAAGCGGTGTGCAAAACCTGCTGTGATCTAGCATAACCGTGTCCGATGATATATGTATTATAAGAAATCGAACCAACGTCCATAAAACGGTGTACTAAACCGCTAGATCACCGAGTCCAATGATATATGTATAGAAAAGGATCTACAAGTACTAACAAGCGGAATAGAGCCGTCGGAATTCCGCCCCGTAGTTCCGCTCGTCAGCTAAAGCGGAATCCTTCGAATTAATTATGTATCGGCCCGAGTCACACCCATCGCCCGGAGTATGTACTCGCCGCCTTATAATTGTGGGAACTTGGGCTGTGCACTTCTAAATTAAAATCGTGTTCCACTATAGTCCGTTAGTATGCATCCTTTTTCACTTCAACCGACTACAAAGATGAGACATTATGTAATGTAATATGGACTCTATTCTCCGCATGTAGCGCCTCATTTGGCTCGCCGTCCCTGTAGAGCCGACTACTAAAGTAATAGAATAAAAATAGAATAGAAATAATAATAAATAAATAGAGAAAATAGACAAATGCAAATAGAAATAATCTTTATTCAAATAAACTCAGTACAAGCACTTTTCAATAGTCATATTTTTTATTCTACCACTCATTCTGAATGTAGATTCATCACAAGAAGAATGAGCAAGAAACATGTTTGTTACTCTTTTGAATAGATGTTTTTTTTATATAAATAATTACAGAAGTAAGAGGCATGCGATAATCATCAACATAGAAACCGTTACGTGCTCATTATTAGTGCAATCAGATAATATTGTCAGCGCTATGCATTTCAAGTTTTTCTACAAAAACATTATTATAGTTAACCAACACTTCAATTATACAATATACATTTTTACCAAGGAAATATTTTACACGACATTAAAATCTTTTTCAGGCAGATTTAGAACACATTCTAGTAGTTTGTTGTAAAAACTTACGCAATTACTATAATACGAATGACTAACTTTAGGTAACTTTTTCATTAGGAATTTTGATGGCCTCGGTAGTCTAGCGGTTTAGCTTTACTTCCTATGGTTGCAGGTTCAATACCTCGCACGGTACAAAACTTTTGTATTCATTAGTATGATTGTTTGTATCGGTCTGGGTGTTTTCTATGTATTTAGCAAGTATTTACGAAAAAAAGTATATGTGTTTATATTAGTACTCATAACAGAAACTCTGCTTAGCTTGGAACTAGATAGCGCTGTGTGAATTGCTAAAGGAAGGAAGAATCCCGACCACTAGGTGACCACTAGTACAGATTAATTTATAGTATAGATTAAATACAATATGTACACCTTCTTTTGTATTTCCACTAATATTTAATTTTGTATAAGTTTATGCTTTTAGTTCTCATGTTAAGTGAATTATTTGTAATTCTTAATGAGAATAAATGTCTAAAACCTAAAACCTACAATGTTAACAAGGTTGCAATAGGAATAAATCACCGGAAGCTTAACTTGCAGTCGGTTCTCTCTAACTTGAGATTAGTGCCTACCGGTGAAGCTTACCATGTGTACACGCCGCCAAGGAAGCGATGCCATGTGCATAATTAGTATAACATTGTGCATTTCATTTGCAAATACCATACAAATAGTCGCCATTGTCGTTGCTCATTTTGTTTATTAATTACTAGCTACTCCCCGACTTTGCACAGATGTACATTTATATATATATAAATAAAATTGTAGTGTCTGATTGTAATATTGAAATAAACGTTTTTTACTACATGCATACGATTATAAAAACGGTATTTAAACCAAAATAACACTTTTTACAATTTTTGTCTGTCTGTCTGTTTGTTCCGGTTAATCTCTGAATTGGCTGGACCGATTTGGACGGGACTTTTTTTGGCAGGTAGCTGATGTAATTAGAAATAATTTAGGCTGCTTTTATTTTAGAAAAAACGTTTTATTTATAAAAATAAAGGTATATTCTACACGGACGAAGTCGCAAGTACAGCTAGTGTATATAATACACTAGCTGTACTCGCGACTTTGTCCATATATAAATCTTCCTCTGGAATCACTTTTTTTATTAAAAAAAACCGCTTCAAAATCCGTTGCGTAGTTTTAAAGATTTAAGCATACACAGGGACAGACAGCGACAGCGACTATTTTTATAGGATGTAATAATGATTAGCTGTGCCCGCGACTTTGTCTGC